CACACACACACACACACACACACACACACACACACACACACACAGTCAGAGCAGACGCCCCTGGGATGGGCTGCTGGCGCTCCTGCCCTCCTACCTCAGAGTGGGGAGCCAGGTGGAGCCATGGCTCTTGGCCCTCCCCAGGGGGACTTTCTATCTGAGACCTGGAGCCAGATGGGAGGGTCCGGAACCCCGCCAGGAGGCAGCCCTGGGTGCCCAACAGCGTGTGGGCTCATCCTGTGCACTAGGTGTGGTAGGGCTGTCCTGGTGGAGGGCCCCCTGGTCACCGCGGTGGTCATCCCTGTCAGTCCCACTCCCTCCAGAAGGAGGGATTCTATGATGAAGTTAATCCTCACGTCAATCATTGGTTAATTAATAGTCCTGAGCCTCAGGTGGCGGGCTCAGCGGGAGGGCTAGTCAGAAGGTGGGCCTGGAGAGGAGCCATGGGGGGGGAGTGGAGGTCCTGGGCTCACTCTGTGCCCCACTGGCTGGGGGCTCCCCCTCTTTCAGGGGTGCTGCTTTCCATGGGATTTGGATTTGTGGAGTACCGGAAGCCGGAGCAAGCCCAGAGAGCCCTCAAACAGCTGCAGGTAAGTGGGGCTCCGAGTTGAGGTCTGGGGGGGTCCTCGGCAGGTGGCAGGGGCTGTTGGCCTCTGCCACTGGGGTGCACTGGTCATCCTTTGCTGCATGACGGACACCCTGGGACCCGCAGCTTCTGCAGTAGCAGATTCTGTGGTCGGAGCTCGGCAGCCCTGCTGGGTTCTGGCTCAGGTCTCTGCTGAGGCTGCAGTAGGTGCCACCTGGGTCACACTGGAAGGCCCACTAGCACTCAGGACTAGGTCGATGTGAGGATGTGAGGATGTCCCTGCCATGTTCCAAAAGGTACGGCTCATGTGCCTCCCCGTGGTGCTGTCTGGTGAGCATCCTCTGGGTCCTGCAGGGAGATCAACTTTTGTGTCCCGTGACACAGCTCCATCAGACCAGACACGCTCCCCTCCCGAGTGTCCCCTGGGGGAGAACCCCCTACCCTGTGCACACCCCCTGGGTCTGCACAGCAGCTGAGCGCACCCTGACCTATGTGCCGTCTCCCTGGGGGCCACCAGCCAGGGTCCCTGGCTCCAACCAAGCCGCTGTTCTCAGAGACCCGCCTTCTGCCTCCACTTCCCAGGGACCTTGGCCTCGGAGACCACTCATTTCCTGGAGCCTCAGTTTCCTCACCTGTGCAAGGGGAGAGTCAGCCCCGTCTCACGACCTTGCCAAGACTTAACCGAGGGAGGGACTGAGCAGGGAGGGAGGGAGGGAGGGACTGCCATGAGGCTGCTTTGTGTGGCGGGGGTGGGGTACCATGTGGGACCCTGAGGCCCGACAGTTCCCAGGATGCAGAGCAGCTGCTGCCTGATAATCTGCGCAGGAGGAGGAAGATCTGCTGCTGGCGCAAGCCCAGGGCTGGGGCGCAGCGGCCCAGTGGAGACTCCGCGGCCTGCTCCCAGGGACAGGAGTACTGACCCCTCCTGCCACCCGGCTGAGCCTCCCCACCAAATGGCACCCGTTGGACGGAGACAGCCCCCGTCCAGGGCGAGGAAGCCACTTCTCTGGGCAGGGGGACCCTGGCCCAGCTCCCCCTCACACTGGCTCCACGACTCCATTCCAGTGACCCCGGCAATGGTGACAACAGCCACAACCGTCCAGGGCTTCCTAACTGCCGGAGCATGTGTTTCAGGGCCAGGGCCCAGGGTCACTCGGGCCCCTGTTCAGACTCCAGGTTTGTTGGCAGCAGGTCCACCCTGGCCCCTGGAGCCCTACCTCCACTAGTTTGTTCTGCATGCCAGTGTGGCCAGCTCACAAGGCCATGGCGAACTTGCAGTTTTTCTGTTCCTGCTTGTCCGTCTGAGACATATGTGTCCCACGGGAATGCCTTGACCTTTTCTGGTCTGATGGAGTTCTTGTTAAGGGAGGTTTCGGTACCTGACAATAATAGATGTTGAAACTAAATTTCTCCCCCCTCCCTCCTGCTTTTGGGTAGTTTTCCACTTCTGCTGCTTGGGGATAAAAGAAAGTGTGTTAGCAATAAAGTGTGTGACTCCTGGATGAAGAACCTTGGTGTCCTGTGTGTCTTTTAACCTCGCCGTCCCTCGCCGGACTCGGCTCCCTTGGCCGGACGTGGCACAGGTTGTCCCCTGCACCCAGAGCTGTGGCTCAGGAACCAGGCCCGGGGACAGAGGTGGGACTGAGGCTGGGCTGGAGGGGCTATCCATGCTGGTGGCATCTAGATGGGCTCAGGAGGAACAGGAACGACGAGGGTGGATGGGGACCCCAGGCAGGGCCTGGGCCTGAGGTGACCTCACTCGTGGGGGGAGGCCAGGGGGTCAGACTGGGTCGGCCTGGTCCAGAGCACGGTGCCAGCAGGTCACGCTGGCCACCTGCAGAGGGGGGTCTGCGTGGATGATGGAGGCCGGGGGCCGGGCAGCCTGGGGCCTTTGTGGGGAGTGACTTCCTGTTTGTCTAGGGGTCTGTCCCCACTGGCAGAGTGAGGCCGGGAGGCAGGGCCTGGGCCAGGCCGAGGACAGTGTCCAGCATGGCCACTGCCCCCGCGGCTCTGAGCAGGCCTGGTCGGGTCCGCACTCTCCTTGCTCTGCTCCTGTCTCGGGGTCACTCAGGCCTGGCCTGCGTCCTGCCAGCAGCCCTCACTCGCACTGGGACCCCGGACAGGCGTCCAGCACTCTCTGGCCTCCACGACGGGGCTACCGTCCCCATCGTCCTACTTCAGCAGCAAGGAGGGGACAAGGGGGCGGTGGCGCTGGGCAGGAGCCGCCCTGGGTTCAGTGTCCCCCCTGCGCCCAGGGCCGAGCCAGGCCGCTGAGCGGAGCCCGCGTCCTGGAAGCGACTGAGCGCTGGGGAGCCCTCCTCGGGACCCAGGCCACCTTGGACACTGGACAAGGACCGGAACCTTGTCCCATAAACGTACAGAGCGAGCTGACGAGAGCCCGAGGGGCCCTGGGCTCACCTGCGTCCCTGCCCAGTGGCCCCAATTAGGAAGCAGACAGAAGCGCGGGAACGTCCTGAGCTTTACTCCTCGGCTCGCTGACTGTGGTCAACCCCAATGACAGAGCAATGACCGCGGCTCCAGGGTGCCCTGGCCTGTGGTTGCGGGCCGGGGTGGCTGCTGGGACTCAGGTGCAAGCTGCGGCCTGGCCGTCTCTGCTGGGCAGCGTCTCGCCCGCTGGCTGGCGCTGGCGTGGCCCTGCCACGGGAGTTGCCCTGCAGGCTGCAGTGGGAGCGGACGCGCTACACGCAGGTGCCTGGCTCTGGGCAAAGCCTGGGGTCGCTTCTGGCCAGGAGTGAGGTTTGCGGTGTGTCCACAGCCCTGCTTGGGAGTGGACGCCGCTGGCGTTGGTGACAGGCTCGACTTGGAGCCCGAGGCCTCAGTAGTTACTCGGAGGTGTCCCTGGAGGAATCCAGGTTCCTGATCCCACTGATGCAGACATCTCTGGGCTGCCTGCTCTGTTAGTCCTTCTGCTAGTCTAACCACTGACTGGATGGATGTAGGTGGGAATTCTTGTATGGCAGCCCTGGAAGGAGGAAGGACAGAGGCTCCTACCTGTTCACCCCATGGGTGACCCTTTCATGGGCCGCCACCAGGGAACAAGGTGGCATCAGGGTCAGGGGGGCAAGAGAACTGGGTGGGGACCTCCCAACTGAGCTGGGGGTGCAGTGTCCTGGCTTCGTGTGGCTGTGACCCCTGCATGGCTGCTCCCGCCCCAGCTCCTGGGGCACAGTGCCGGTGTGGGCTCAGTGTCACCTGCGAGGCACCTGCCACCAGGATGCCCAGGTGTGGGCATCATCCCTGGGCTGAGGTTTCATCCCCCTCCACCCTGGACCTGTGAGGTCAGGCGCACAGGGGTGGGGGCGCTGTCCCAGCCCGGCCCCTGACCACCTACCTCTGTGCCAGCTCACAGCTGAAGTGTCTGCTCCTCGCCGTCACGGTCACTGTCCTCCAGCTGCTCCAGGATCCCGTCCAACACCACAGAAGGCTTCTTCTTCGGGGCTCTGTGGGAGCCCAGATAGCAAGAGAAGAGGACGCGGGGGTGGGGAGATGCAGGTCCAGGAGGGCAGAGACAGAGGGGACATGTGCAGGGAGGAGCAGGGGAGGTGAGGGAAGGGACAGGGGGAGGGAAGGAGGGGAGAGGGAAGGCAGCATGAGGAGAGGGAGGGCAGGCGGTCTCCGGCCCCGGCATCCCATGGGCCTCCTCTGTCCCCCCCCCCCCCCCCCATGGCCCTCCCCGGCCCCCCCCCCCCCCCCCCCCCACGCGGGCCTCCTCTGCCCCCCCCCCACAGCCCCCCCGCCCCCCCCAGCAGGCCTTCTCCATCCCTCACTCCTATGACTGGAGGCCAGACGCCAATGGCTTAGGAAGTGGCTGGCACACAGTAGGAGTTCAATAAAGCTGGGTGCAATGATGTAGAACCCAGGGACCCCAGGGACCCCAGGGGCGGTGCAGAGTGACGATGAGGAGAGGCTCTGGAGAAGCGGGGACATCTGGCTTGGGCTTTGATGCAGGCTCCCCCTGACAGAGCACCTACTGTGTGCCACGGCCCTGCTCCTCTCAACGGCCCCCAGTAGGTGTGCAGGGGGGGAATGAAGCAGACAGGAGATCTAAGGCTGTCCGGCTAGGAAGTGGCAGAGCATGGACCTGACCTCGAGTCACACTTAAGTCACGTCCTCTCTGCTTCTCACGACTCTGGTGCTGGCCAGAGAAGAGCCAGGAGACCACAGCAGTCGGAGCAGCGGTGCTGGTTCCCTGGCCCTCCAGTTAGGAAACGGGGCAGGGAAGCT